CACCTATAAAATAGAATTAAATTACTTGAACGTTTACCTCGTCTGATTGCCAACAGCGTACGAACTCCTGTAGAAGCCCTGTAAGTAGTCGTTCAAATGGCCAACATACTTTAAATGCACTACGTATTGCTTGCCCCCCTTCAACGTGTCCGACGTTCTAATCACGTAAAACTGCCGTTCAGTGTCGTTCTTCTGTTCTACAATTCCGATTGCCTTGTTCGTTTTGTTGCTAGTCGCTAAATGTTCCCTGATATTCGTGAAACTTTCATCGATGTTCATATCCACCGCGTGCAACGATACGTTCCTCGTGTCTTCGGTGACGTTCACCAGAATTTTTACCTAGGCAGAGAAAAAAAATTACTATATTAATTGATATTCTAATTATAATACGTTTACACGTCAACGTATCGACGTTTTTCTCCAAAACGTTCTTCATTTGTGTATTTACATTTTACATTCTTCGTTGAATACAATGGATTATTTTATATTTTCTGTGTTTACTTCTATCAGGATAAAATTCTAGAAATTCTACCTTCTCCTCTCCCTCTCAAATGCGTCTTTAAGGAATTACATTAAACATAAAGTTACAATATTTTACTTCTACAATTTCATAGGTGTAAATGAAAGTTAACTATTAGGTTTGAGGATTTTAAAATATATAATTGAGTTTCTGTACAGAGTGCGGCCGAAAATATTGTACAAGCGGGCAGGAGGTGATTCTTTGTGTAAAAATAAACAAGAAATATAGAATAAAATATTTTTCTTCGAGGGTTAATTTTTGAAAAAATCGTTTCATACGACTTTTACGAGTTACTAAGTTCAACTATACACAAAGACAAAATTTGATCAACAATATTTTATTATATCAATTAAGGAATTGTAAATTAAGGATTTTCAAACCCGACTTTTTCCAAAAACTAAGACTCCAATGAAAAAAACATTATTCTACATTTATTATTTATTTTTGCGTAAGGAATAACCTCCTGCCGGCTTGTACAATACTTTCGGCCGCACCCTGCACCTATACACAGTCACTTATTCTTATTCTAGATACCTTAGAACTCATTTAAATAGAACATATCGAACGAGAGAGAAAATACAATAGTAACATAACAGAAATCTGATCATTTTTATTGCACTTATATAAATGATCTTTCCTTATAGATAACAACTTTCCATAGTTTTTTTTAACATATCATAAAAACGATCGTGTTATGTAAGAAACAAAATGGTGATTTAAACTTTCTACTTACACTCGCTACTTTCACTTATAGTCGTTCTTCTCATGTTCGCTACGTTTTATACAGACGTATAAATAAACAAGAAGATAAAATATGTTAAGGTGTCGTCGAAAAGTATGAATTGATTAATCCCCTTCTGACCTATAGTCCTTCAATTGTATACATATATACATTCAGAGCAGTAGAACTCGTTTCCTCTTAAATCTATCAAAGGAAGGAGATCGTGCTCCTTTATTCGATTGTTTTGCATATTCTATCCAGAACATCTGAAGTGGAGTTATTAGGGTAACAAACAGAATGCTGCTTCTCTAACCGTATGATTCTTAATGATTCAAACGAACTTAACGATTCAAAATATTGAATTTTGTTAATTTTCAAATTTCAAAAAATTACGGAAGCTATAGTAGACGTATTTCAGTATTGTACAGTAGAGTTCCGATTATCCAGAATCAGCACTAGGAAGACCAGCCGGGTCAAAATGACATATCAGTAACTTTCCAAAAATGAATTTTTATGTAATTTAAAACGTGATTAACCCTTATGTCAATAACCACCACTGTCGTCTACTTTATCGTCCAATTTTAGTAGTTTTCTGATAACGAAATTCTAAACTTGAGGCAAACAAGAATAGGAAATGTGCGGAATAACAACGATCTGGCCGCATATTAGAATCTTTTACCTGGAAGATAAAATATTTTAAGTGAGAATTGTGCAAAAGGGTACCCGGGTACCCGGTTATTGACATAAGGGTTAAAAAGTTAGTCCCATATTGATACAAATAGAAATGAACATAGAGGAAACAAAGTCAGAACGTTACAAACGATGACACTTATCAGACCGAAAATTCACTTGTTTTGGAAAGTTCCCAATGGGTCTTCTAGTGTTAACTGTCACATTTGCCCCAACTATTCTTCGGCAACCGTCAAAAATCATATTTCACACAAACAAAGAAGCTACGGCCGCATGTATCCAACAGTGATATGGATACCCAACAGTTGACGAACAAATTGAAGGAATGCATGTGTTTTGCAATGCGTGTATTGTGTATACGCACATATGTAGACAGTAATTTGTAACCATGGTTGTTTTTTAAATTATTTTCTTCGTTATTACCACTTCATAAGTGTAATCCAATTATCCAGGAGTGCCTCAATCCCGAGTATGCCGGATAATCGGAATTCTACTGTAGTAGAGACTATAGAAAATCTGACAGAACTTTCCGAACGACCTAATAACTTAGCATCATCTCTCCTACCCACTTTGGAATTAGCCTATAACCAATCGTAGTAATTCATATTTTTCCCAATACGGAAAATTTAGACCACATATGGGCAACCTCCGGCCCTAATCTATTTCAGCGAAGTTTGTCTTCAATTTTCACATTAAATTGCTATGTCGTCCGTTATACTATAAAATTTATGTAGAGCTTTATACCAAAGCATTGTATTATAAATAAATGAAATATGAAGTAGCAACTTGTTTTAATTCGTTTAATATTCATTTATTTTATTTAATAATTTGGTCCGGCCCATGACTCGGAGACAGAATGATAATTTGACCCCCGAACTAGGAAAGGTTGCCCATGCCTGATTTAGACGAACCATGTCTTACTTACAAGAAGAACGTCTTACTTCAAAACGTGATAATATAAAGTCATCAACACAGTCCGTACTCTATTCCCAATATCAAGGTAACAAAGACAGGTTTCGAGCTGTCACGTTGACTTCTTGATGAGCTTTTGCACAATGAGCTAGAGCTTCAAATACCGAAGCTAATGGTATCCGGTTTTAGAGGCAGACGGTAAATAGATTACCGAAAACCAGGTAAATCATTAGCTTCATTAGCGCGTATAATTAGCTTCGGTATTTGAAGCTCTACCATTGTGCAGAAGCTCATCAAAAAGCCAGCGTAACACCTCGGGACCTCTTTTTGGGAGTCTTGTAAGTTCCAATCGATTCTGTTCCAAATTAATACCTCGGGAACCACTTCGAATTGATGTACCCAATTTTCTTCTGCCTGAATTGTCCGAGTAACATGAAAAATACCGATGCATCTTTTACTTCGAATTGATGTACCCAATTTTCTTCTGCCTGAATTGTCCGAGTAACATGAAAAATACCGATAAATCTTTTAGGTTATGTCTCCGGAATACGGAACAAACATTTGTCGAATACAGTTGCGACATGCTTTTCCATTCATTACGGAATACTCTTCGCACCGAAGATTAGCGCAAAGAAGAAACATGCATAAATACATGAAAAGCATTAAACTCTTCGTTTAAAGGCAGAATAACGGCCCTGCAGAAGAGGCAGGTTTGAGAAGAATAACGCTTCTTAAACCGCTACAAATTTCTGTACGAAAGAGGCGCATTACAATTACAAATTGAGAAAGTAGCAAAGGAAGCTTTGCTTCGTTACAAAGGTATTGAATGTAAAGTAAGGACTTCTTTCTTCAGTTCGTCATTAAGTAAACCACAATTGATTTATAATTGAAGTGACCAGACGTACTAATTTAAAAAAAAAACAACTCTAAATGTATAAAAAGATATGAATAATTAGAGTAATTGAATATCG